AGGCCTTTCGCTCGGGAGGGAGAGGGGGACAGCGCCCCGAGCAGTGCGTCCTGGGTAGCGCGGGCTGTGGAGACGCCGGTCTGGCGGCGCGGTCCCAGTCACGACGCCCTGCTTGAAGGAAGGAAGGGCCAACCCACGCCGACCACCTGAAGCAGAGGCTCCTTCCTGCCTCCCACCCGGGGAAAGACAGGGCTGTCCCCCAGGCTGACTACAGGGATGTTGAAATCGTCCGAGAGAAAAAGAAAAACGTTGTTGATTTGGCTCGGGGAGGCCTTGGCGGTAGTGAGGGTCAGGGGGAATAGCAGAGTTGCAGGCGATTTCCTCGAAGTAAGTGGAAAATGTTGGACTGGGAGCTCCCGCTGCTGTGGGGAACCCCTCAAGTCTGAGGTGGAGGTTCAGGACGGCCTCTCAGGTGTGCGGACCTCGCTGGGCACGCCCGGTTCCGTTGGACAGGGTGGGTTTGGGCCCGATGGGCGTGGGCGGGCTTTCCCCTGCAGCGGCCGGCAGCAGACAGCTCCTGCTTCTCCTTTGCCCTCTCGTCTAATAACTTCGCAGAAGCACGGGGCCAATAAGCCACGGGTTGGAAATGGACAGTGTTAAATAAACAAGGGTCTCTTTAAAATTCTCATCCACTTCAGAGGTCTAAAGTAAGATTGTGATGATTTTGTCACGGTTTGGTAAATTTACCCCTTTAAGAGGCTTTCATAAATCCCAGAACACACCTTCAGCCAGATTTGAATATAGATTTAGGTTTTAAAACCCAGAAGCTGGAAACACCGCTTTATCAAAGAGAATTTCCCTTTAGCTTAGCAATGTGCTGAAGCTCTTAAAAGATTGGATCTGAGAGAGAGGGTGAGAGAGAGAGAGAGAGAGAGAGAGGGAGAGAGACTGAGAGGAGAAAGAGAGCTAGAGACAGAGATGCAGACGGGAGGGGAAAAGACTCTTTCTTTCTAGAGGAATTCTGCCCAGACTCTGCAGCAGTTGGTAGCAGGCAAGCTTTCTCCTGGGTGTCGCTTGGAAAAGTTGCAAAATTGCTCCTCACCTGTAAGAACATGCTCTTTATCTTCCAGTCTCTTCTTGTCAATTTGGAAATTGCAGACAGCCCGGCTCAGGCACTGTTTCCGCAAACCTCCTCTAGGTCAGGACAAAAGCCACGGGCTGGGGGTGGGGGCGCTGAGCTGTTTCACTGCAGACCTTAGAGCTTGGTGGGAGAAAAAGACTTCTGGGATGAAAACTCCTCACTCTTGATTTTCAGTAAGTTCTTGAACTTCTGACATACTTACTATCTGCTCATTGCATTTCCTTTTTCCTTGCTTAACTTTCCTTCCCTGTGTCTGTCTTTCTGTTTCTTCTATAAATCCAACTTATGGTAGGATGCTTTGATTTTTAAGTAATTTTCACAAACAACTGGATTGTTTTCAACTGCCATGTGTACTGTTATCTTGCTATGCATATGAGATATACGTATTCAGAAGTGAGAGGAAAAACAATACACAGGGAGTCAAATTATTTTTTCAAAGCTTGCATGTGGTTTTCAATGTATGGCTGATATTTATATTTTGAAATCTAGCTTCCTATTTAGCACTAGCTGGGCTCACTTTCACCAGCCCACATGCCAGGCCAGTTTAAAATATTCCAAACTTTCCTCCAAGTTTATTAACTATGATGGAGGGGCTCACAGAGGGGGAGGGGAAAAGTAAGAGGTCCAGCGATTGTTCCAGGTCAATTAGAAAAGAAGAACAAAACCTATATTCTGTGAGAACATAGCTTCTCCAGGGGGGAAAGGAGTCAGTTGGAGTCCTTGAACACGTACTTCAGAAATATGAAGATTAATTTCAAATCTTT